GGTGAAGCACGAGTATGCCCGTTATTTTAATGTCCTCAGTGTTTTATATGGTCATGGCCACTTCAGTACCATCCTTCAAGGACCCCCTTTGGCTTGGGGCACTAGACAAATGCCTACCTGTCTGCCCTAACCGTACGGGATACTTGAATTTGGCTTAAAATACGGTACATCCCAGCTAATACAGGAAGGATGGCAACCCTACCTCAGCTTTGAAGGCAGCGGGTCTCTGATCCACTCAGATTCAGCCATCTGTACTTAGTGCTAACGTTAACTCATAATGCTAACGTTTAAGCTAGCATTATACTCTGAATCTTTAGAAGTGGAGGAGCCAAATGACTAGCTGACTGCTGCCAACTAGAGGCCGGAGGCTAAATTACAACACAAAAATTAACTGCTTAAACCTTAATTAAAAATCGATACAATATTGGAAATTAAATATCGATATTTTCTTACACCCGTATGAACTACTCCACCTGTCCCACTCCTTCTGACACAGCTGCAGTCACTTTCTCTCATCGGCCTATTTGGCTTTTTAGTTTTTGTCAAGTTTTATTGGTTTMCAGTCCACGTTCTGGGTCTCCTTGTGCTTCCATGTTCCAGAACAGCCATCTCTTTTTAAAAAGTTTAATTTGAGCTTCCTTGGGTCAATCTGTAATCTTGGGTTCCAAACCATGACAGAAACATGGTCCTGTACTCTAGTTCTCAGTCTGCTTCACATATTTTCAAACACAGCTTCCTTAGTAATAAAATAATAAATATTTAAAAATCCACATTTCATCTGTCACCCTTTATTTGTCATGTTTCATAGCACATCCAGGTGCTCCTGTGATGAAGAGAACCAGACAGAAACTCCGTCTGAATATCAAACACTGGATCTGTTTCCATTAAACTGTGTCAAGGTTAAACAGGAAACCAGGGCCTGGAGGAAACAACAGACAAATGTGGGGATTTTWGCATTTCTCCTTGGTTTACTTTGAGCAGGTAACCCCAGGAGGCACGTTTGTCTTTGGAGGTGAACTGAAATGTGATTGTACCGCACACCGACACAAGCGCGCGCACACCAAAACCACTTTAAGTGCAGTTCTAAATACAGACTAATTGTCTGCTTTTATGCCAAGTTCAAACCGATGAAAACAGGGGTCAGAGAAAGGGGCGGATGGAAACATTACAAAATTACTAACTGTGAATGTGTTTGTGCTTATTAGACTAACAGCAGCTGTTTAAAACAACCCGCCCCGTGTGTGTGTGTGCGTGTTCTTCTGTTAATCAGCGAGGGTCGACTCTTCCTGGGAGACAATAAGCTGGTGATCCATTATAATGTCAATATCTGTGTCCTTAAAACAAAGACGACTGGAAAGATTTATGTAGCTGGAAAAGTCAAAAACACGTGATGTTTTTACAAAAAATTATATATCCATGTTTAATAATGAGGTTCTACTCATCTTAAATAGCTACAGAAAGACGTTTGGGACTCAAGATGATGTAAGTATTTTATTGTGTAGAAATGCCCAACCAGGGGCTGGAGTTACAAATTAGCTGTAGCTATATACTCTTTATGCAACGCATCAGTTACAGACATGGTCTGTTCTATGTTTTTGTATGCATTGTCCCTGTTAAATAAATAAAGATAAAGATAAAGATAAAATGATAAAACTGTCTCAATGAGGGGTGCAGTCAGTGAGGCCACTAGTATTTTATGGGTGGTTATTGCCCTCCTCGCCCTCACTTGGTGGCGCCCCTGGATGGACACAAAAGATCGACATTTAAATGGTTTTAAGGGCGTTTTAGTGCTTAAATAACACATTCTGCTTTTTGTTATAGAAATTGACTTTACGATGAGCTTTTAACAACAGACATTTAAAAAAGTTGTTTTGTTCTTTTTTTTATTTAGTGCACTGGGTTTAGAAAAAGAAGYTTTATTGTAATATTTAAAATTGGAGGAAAATAAATGAAATTGTATTTGCAGTCCGGCATGAGACCCACTAACCTTTCCAACGATCCGGATAGGAGGCTTTGAAATCAATACACTTACAGTTGTGTACACACACACACACACACACACACACACACACACACACAGGTCTGGTTTGTATATCCCAGTGGGGGCCATGCACTGACTTCCATTCATTTTTTGGAAATTTTATATCCTAACCCTGATCATTTACTCTAAAATTAACCTTACAGGTACCTTACCTGACCCTAAAACTAACCTAAACTCAATTAACATCTTGGTCCTAAACCTAACCCCCACACCCGTAATCTGCATTTGGACCCGTGGGGACCGGGTATTGTTCCCCACGATGTACATTTGGTCCCCACGAGGCTGCTTTTACAGGAAACTAGTCCCCACGATGTAGGAAAAACAAGCTCCCCCACCACACACACACACTTCCTTGTATTTGCATCAAACTGAGGACTTTGTTTCGACTTCCATTCATTTTTGTAACCGCATTTATGCCTCACCCAGACATTTTCCCTAAAATTAACCACTACTGGTCTAAAGTTAACACTAACCTGAACCAGAACTTAATTCACACCAAACCTCTAAACCTAACTAGTAAAGCACAGCGGAGCTGCAAATAAAGTGAGGACCAGGAAAATGTCCTCACTTTACATCAAAGACCTCATAGTAACTATGGTCCTCACTCTGTAGTAAAAACAAGTACACACACTCACCTCGTACATGTTGAACTGGCTCTGTCCTCTGGAGAGCTCTCTGTAGCTGGTGCTGAACTCTCCGATAAAGTCATGACTGCACACAAGAAGAGGAGGAAATATTGACGTAAAAACGATTTTAAAGCAAACACATTAAAGTCCCAAACGCCCCGTTAAAGTCGGGCCTTTCTGGAAAGCATCAGAGCAATTWTTTTCAGATTGTTCTGTCAGTGACAAATGTTTGTTGTGTTTTTCCTCGTCAGCAGCCAGAGTCCAGACTCGTCGCTCCTTTATGTGCTGAAAACACAGACTGCTGTTAATCAGGTGCCGCTTGGGTTCGTTAACCTCAGAGACTGTCGACACGTTACATTTAAAGCTAATTATGATAAAAGAAGTAAAAAATGCATCACTGTCATGACCTGAGCAATTAAAACAATACAGATGTGCACCAGTGCTCGCTATCTTTAAGTTAAACTTTTTAAACATTTTAAAAATGAATGCTTTGTGCCAGAAACAAATGTTTATTTGGGTTTAATTCTATGAGATAATTCAAGCAACCAAAGTGGAATGCTRTCATCTAGTGCTGTACCAAAAGATTATTTTCTAATCGATTAATCTAACTATTATTTTTTCGATTAATCGATTWTTCTAACAACAAATCTAAAAGTTATTCTGATGTGAGTGCACTGGATATTTAAAATGTTTTCAGCAAATTAACAAGAACAGTTCTTTAATATTGTAATATTTTCTGTAACAGTTTTTTCATGGACACAAAATATGCACTCTAGAGTCAATTCTTTAACAAAAAAAGCTTAAAAGATTTAACATCAACATAAAATCTCAACCAGAACAAATAAAATTCAACTAAAAGAAAWATAGTGTAAGATGTTAACAATCTAACAAATGAACTAAATCATGCAAAATTCAAGTCACTCTCTGGAAAACCTATAAACATATAATAAACATTTATTTATTATTTTTTATTTAACATATGTCTCAATATATAAAAATTAACAAATATCAAGACAACATCCAACTCTTTGTATTGTAACATCAGTTGTGTAACTTATTTCTTTAAGGTGAAAACTGTTGTAAACAACAGACTGTTTTGTCTTATTACACAAATTAAAATCCAGCTCCACGTGTTTCTATTGATGTCATTTCCCCACTAGAAAAATATGTGATGGAGGTCCATGGAAGGCAAATAAGTTTAAATCAAATAAACAAACGAGGATGGAGTTAAAATAAATAAAAGGTATTTAAGCTACGTTTTGAACATCCAGAACACGTCCAACACTTGTTGGCTGCTTGTGCTCTTTAGGTCAGACGTGTGTCGGGAAGCTCCTCTGTTGTTTCAGACGCTGGCGAACCGTCTGATGGGGGAACGTGGCTCCACCTGACACCGCTCTCTGTTTAATGGTGGATGAAATAAAGAAAGTGGCGGTACTTTATTTACTTTGAGCAAGTGAACGTCGTGTTCACAAGATAATTAATCCACCAGATAATTCAGAGGCGGTCTGTTTGGTAAATTTTACTCCAGGAGCTGCGAGGCTTGTTTTCAAGCTTCAGACTGAACTGAAGCAGCAGCTGCTGACGTCATTACGCTCTTGCGCGATGCTGCGTTCAGGACAAGCATGGAAAACTCACCACTCTTATGCCAATACGGTCGCAATTGATGCATTTAGGTACCGAAATGGAATTGCATGAACATTCACGTGGTGGTTTGTAATACAGCGAATCGATAATAAAAAATCTGTGTCGACAAATTTACATAATCGACGTCATCGATTATTTCAACTAATTGGTGCAGGCCTACTGTCRTCTTAAAACAACTCCAATCTTTTATTTTTATACTGTATGATTATTGTTACTGTAGGTAGTAGCTGTAAAATTTTCTACTTTGATCATAATGTAACTATTTTTCAAAGACCCATCTACAACAGTCAAGATTAAAAACTGTTAATAACCCATCAGAACCACAGATTAAAGATTTGAATCTGTCACTTTAAGGTAAGGAAACAAAAACTAGTTTCTTCAGCAATTTTTACTTTGAATTATGCCAAACTCGTACTTAAGACATGCAGAAATATTACTGCTAAATCCTTTTGATATATGTCTCAATTTAGTCCCGAAGCGTCTTAATCTCATCGCCGTTTGGTCTTGAGACTCCATAAATTTGTCCAAAGTTGTCTCCAGCACACAAAGATTCACAAAAAAAAAATTTCTTTTCTTAAATGTCCATTTAACAGATGAACGTCCACATAACAAAACAACCTTTTATCTTGCAGGATTTCTGTTATTTTGAACTTAATACAAATTTAAATTGTTCTAGTAAATATTTACCTGCCGTCTCTGTCCCAGTCGTAAACTTCAACTTTGATTGTTCTGGTGGGAGAGACACAAAAACACAAGCCCGTTACAGAAGATGGAAATAAAAGCAAAAAAAATATTTGCAAATCTGAAAATCCTGCATTTTATTCACAATGGAACATATTGAATATATCAAAGGCTCAACTTTAACCAACTTGAGGCAAAGTGGAAAACTTTATGGAAACCACGCCCTCCGTACTATAAAGGTCTCGACACACGGGAGGCGACGTCGCTCGCTCTCCATTCGTTTCCTATAGAACTTTTGCGATGAGGYGACAATCGCTYGCCCTCCTCCAGCCAAGCCACCGGCGAAAATCGTGCATGTGAAATTTCGAACTCGTACACGTGCACACGAGCTTGAGACGTAACATATGAAAGTTGAAAAATGTTCAACTTTTGTCGCTGTCGCATGGAGTYACAACCAATCACTGAGGGTTTTATTAACTGACCATTGAGCGGAGAGTATGCTTCACACTGCAGTTAGCTAACACTTTCACCAAAGGATTACTAAAAAAGGCAGCTTTGTGGGAATTTGTTGGCGCCGGGGTGAAGTTATCCACTATGTTTTTTCACATAAAATCGTATCTTGGTGTGCGTTTGTTTTTYAATATCATTGGCATCGCAAGATTTGTTTAGTTTGCACGTCGGTAAAGCACACTGCTTTTTTTCGAACCACCAATAACCTTTACAAGAGGCAGTAGAAGAGGGGTCTGCAACCTTTACAATCAAAACAGCCATTTCTGCTGCTTGTTTCACTGATAAAATGTGTCCAGAGCTGCAAAACAAGCTACAACTGTGATTATCAACTGGTGGTCCGTGGGCCTTTTCATGGCCTTTTCAGGAACCTTTACGGCCAGTGGAGGTGACATTATAAAACTAAAGAATATATTGTGAATTTTCTTATTTACTATTATTTTTACACATCAGGACAAATGAAAAGACCAGATTCATGTAAACAAGAAAAATACTGTATGTAGTTTATATCCAATTTCATAAAAACTAATACAACTGAATTATTCAGAAATATGTTTTTCTAATTCTTATCATGTAGTCTTCAAATTCTTTAAAGGTAATTCTATGGGTTCGGGAGAAAGAAGTTGGATTATTTAAGTAAACAACATAGCATGAGCAAACATGTTTTACTTTTTGTATTAGTAGTATTAATCAAGTTTTTGCATACAAACTAATTTCTGCTGTGAGTATAAAAACAAAACTAAAAAATATTCTGTTTTGTTTGGTCACATTTTCAAAGAGCCACATGTGGCCCAGAGCCGCAGGTTGCAGACCCCTGCAGTAGATGAACCAATCACATTTTGTGCAGACAATCGACCTGAGWGCGTGATTCACAACGCTGCCGTCACTATCGCGTCCCGTGTGTCGGGTTTCACCCTGACAGCCGTTAATCGCTGTCGTTTGTCGCTCCCCGTGTGTCGAGCCCTTAAGAAGCAGAACATCCAGCCTGCTGTTAGCGCTCAGTTCAAAAGTCTCTGATGGTATGGGGGTGCATTAGCTTTCACCTCTGGAAAGGTTTGGGTTTGCATTTACTCCTAAAGGCATCACAGCGTTAGTTTGAGTCACACTTGAGACATAAAATCAGAAAATGAGTCAAGCTGCAGCTGAAGTACCAACAGGGAAAGGCTCACTTCTTCTGCCATTGTTGCCATGGAAATTTGATTTGAAGAAAATCCTCTCTGCTGCTCGTCTTTAGCTCGGAACACTTCTACCTGCTCCTGTGTTWACCTGCAGTAATATTAGCTCCTCGCCTTGTGACACGTCTGCTTACGCTTTCTGTCCGGCTCGTGTGGAAATTAGGAAATTATTTCATCCGAAAGATAGGTTTCTCAGGAAAAAAAAACAACAAGTGAACAACACTAAAAGGCAAACAAACTGCAAATTAAAACGTAAACAGCTCTGGGCGCTGTCTTCATTTAGTTTGTTGTTTCGATGGAAGCRAGCGGATCAAACCGCGGGGAGTTTTAAATGACAGAGTAAGAGACCGGAACAARAGAGGAGCTTTAGCCTCGGATCGTTTTCAGCTASTACCACGCCGAATTTTAGCTCGATATCTGGAAAACTGTCTCARTTATAGCCAGCTCGCTAACGATGCTTAGCAGTGGCGGCCAYCTTGAACTTGGTTAACTCCAAGCTGTAGACGTGCACTGTACCTTCAGTGATTTACAGGATTTGCTGTCAGAGACAAAAACTTCAACGCTCAGTGAGGAGGAGCAGAGGAGGTGTACGTGAGGGAGGTGTTGGAGCTGCTGCAGGAGACAGGTGTGTTTTAGAGGAGGAGGAAGCTGTGGAGTCAGGAAGCAGACAGGTTCGAGTGGCACTCGTCACTCGAGCCGAGTGTTTGTCTCATTAGGTGGATGTTGTGCCTCTTCTGTGTGAGAAAACATCAGTTTTGAGCTTTGATGATGCAACAAAACCAACAGTGGTGTGTGTGTGTGTGTGTGTGTGTGTGTGTG